CTAAGACTTCTTCACTTAGCTCTAGGTCCTAAAGGTTTTCCCCTATGTTTAAAAAATTTGTAAAAGTTGTATAGCTTTATATATTACACTTAAGTCCATGATCATTTGAATTAATTTTTGTATAAGGAATGAAATTTAGGTTTAGGTTCTACTTTTTTTTTTTTTTTTTTTTGCCTATGGATGTTTTAATTTTTTATTGNTTTGTTAATCAAGGTAGACTGCAGGCATCAGGAATAAGCTAATTTATGTAGAGCCAGAGAAGAAGGCACTACTCGGGCATCCAGGCCATGGACTCAGGCTGCCTGGCCTGCTGTCTGGCTCTGCAACCCAACAGCCCAACCCTGGGCCAGTTTGCAAGGACTTACCCACCCTAGGAGGTAGCTACTATTATTATTCCATTTTATAGATTAAAAGCTGAGCCACAGGGAGGTTATATGTCTTGCACTTTGTTAACTAGTATCTGGTACAGAATAACCACTCAATAAAACCTATTATTGTTTGGAATGTTAGCAGACAAAATCTAGAAGCTATAGAAATTATCTTGCTGAGGGCACTTTCTAATGCTGTCAGGAATATGAGTTCTATATTGCTCTGGTGTGTAAAGCTTTCTGTACTGTGGTTGAGATATTTTGAAGCATTCCTATATGTCGGGGGGAGGCAGTAAAGGTTTGCACTGTGGGATAGGTTCCGTTATCATGTGCTTTGTTAGCTCCATGTAGTGCCCTACCCTAACCCAAGGATGGGGCTACCAACCCAAAACAGTTACCATTGCCAGAGAATTCTGCTCTGTTGGTATCTGAGGCTTTATTTGTAAGCATGTGTGATCATTTGGTGGATAATCCTGTTTACTGGCTTCTGTGAAGCAAAGCCTGATACCTTTGATCTCTTTTGTTTCCTGGCTAACAGCAAAGCTAATCCTTGGAGACTGAGGGCTGGGTTTTCCTCACCACCAATATTAATGTATTCTGCAGAAAGGAGGAGATCCGGATTCTAATCAAGAAACCATTCTTCTTTCTTTTACACGGAAACCTCCAAAATAATACTACAGGAATCTAGTTTTTTTCTCTAGAATTCTGAGAAACAAAGTTCTGTGATTTATTTCAAATGCTGCTTTAAGAATATTTTATTATTTTCTAAAAGAAAATAAAATAGCTTTAGGACAAGAAGTTTGAATGTGCTTAAGATAAAACTTAATGAAGAATTTGTTTCATATGTAAAGATCATTCTGAATTTCTCAAAGCACAGGATCGTTGCTGTTTTAAAGTCACTTCCATCAAAGTGCAATATATATTAATACTATCAATTGTTACCTTATATAAAACATTTTATCTGCATCCTACTGTGGCAGTTTGAGGCTAAATGGAAAATTTTATAGAGGTAAAACTAACTCAAGTACATACCTAATAATTTAAAAGAAAAGATGTAGAATTAAAAGAACTCAAGAAAGAAAGGCAATGTAAAGTGTATAAATAAACTGTATGCCAAGTGAAGATGTCTGAGTTTATTCAATATCACCTTCACATTTCTGCTTTTTGGGCTTTCCATTCTTGTCATTTTATTAAAGCTCCGATTTACTTACGTTCTGGTATTTTATGGAAAAAGTCTGACATGAAAGTTAGTTAATGAAAGTTAGTTAGTTGGTTAATGAGATGTTGCTCTGTAAACAAGAAAAGCTTTGATAAATATAGTCTAAATAATGGACAACTATCATTTAAAAGCTATGATGGAACTGAAGATTTCTTTGATAACATTGTAAATAATGACAGGGAAGTGAAGCATATGATGATGGTATCATTAATACATGATTGAACCAAATTTATGTCACACTTGTGTGTGCATTTGTACACAATTAACTTGTGTTCCTATTCTTTAATGTTTATTCCATTATATTCTATTTCCCTCCCCTCCCATTAATCAATGCACTGTGACTTTTCCTTCTCAAGTTAGCCCCTGCCTTCCTCCAGTACAGGTAAAAAGAGTTTAAACCCAAGGCTTAGGTGTGCCTGGCTCTGGGCAATCCCAGTCAAATCTGGAAGTATTTATTATCAGCCTCATCTTCACTTGGGGTTAGGAAGTCTAAAGTAGTGGTTCTTCTTTTTTTTTTTAATGTTTTTTAGTGTTTTATTTATTTCTGAGAGAGAGAGACAGCGTAAGCAGGGGAGGGTCAGAGAGAGAGGGAGACACAGAATCTGAAACAGGCTCCAGGCTCTGAGCTGGCAGTCAGCACACAGCCCGATGCGGGTCTTGAACCCGCAAACCATGAAATTATGACCTGAGCTGAAGTCGGACGCTTAACCAACTGAGCCACCCAGGCACCCCTAAACTAGTGGTTCTTAAGATGTGATCTTGGAACCAGCAGCATTAGCATTGCCTAGAATGTAGTAAAATTCATTAGGCCCTGGCCCAGATCTATTAGGTCAGAAACTCTGAGGGGATTAATTAGCCCTCCAGGTGATTCTGACACTCAAGTTTGAAAGTCTCATCTTGTTCTTATTGCCTTGTATCCTGTCTCTAGGTTGACTTCCTGAGTACTCACATATGTATGAATTTCAGTTTTCCTTCTCTGATTTTCTCATGACTGCATCTCTGATCTCTCTGGCTGGATTTCTGCCAATTCCAGATTTAACACTCTAGTTCCCAGCTTTGATTTCCACATTGCCTATTACACTGAAGCCCTGTCAGTTCCTTTCCCTAAATACATCACAGCTCTGCCTATAACCCTCTCCCCTCCTGGCTGGTGGCCAAATCTGGTCTTGAATTGGGCCATTTGGAGCTAATTCCCTCTGGGGCCTCTGCATGATTTGACACCCCCTGCTGTTCTCCCCGTCCGCCCCCCCCCCCCTCCATCAGGCCATAATAATGCTGGCCTAAGCTGACCTCCAGACCTCTCACCTGGGGATGCTTTGGTTGACATCACTATCCTTCCTTATTAGGCCCTGTTGTATAACCTGGATAACCATTCTAACCTTCCTAAAGCCTCATTATTATACTGTCCTCTCCCTGCTGTTCTGGATATCAAGAGAGTGCATAAGCTATGACATCTATTCAAAATCAATGGATACCTTTAGAAAACACTATAGGAGAGTTACATAAACACTTTAGGGATAAAACATGCTCCTGATTTAGGGATATCTTCAGGGTAAAGAAAGACAACAGTAGAAAATAAGTTACATTTGAATTACTTTGGGAAAATGTTGATATCATCACTTCATGTTCTGAATATTCTAATTTACCTGATGGGGTAGTTAATACTTTTCTCTTGTGGGGATTAGTATCCTCTAACGTTTCTTTTCCAAGCCCTAATATTTCCATGCATGGATCCACATACTGAAATTTATTTTCTAGAAACCTGAACACACCACTATCATGCTAACAGTTCATTGGGGACCTAGTGCTGAGGGTTTAATGCAATATGTGTGCTCATCCATAGGCGCCTACAGGTAGCTACTACTGTGAAGGAAATTGCAGGTCACATTTATATGCCTAGAAAATAATTCAACAAGCATTTCAAAACACTCTCCATTCACCTTTGGTCAAAGCCCTTTTATGTGTGTAGCAATAGTCATAGTACTTCAAGAAGTTCGTTATTTCCTTGAATTTGTTTTAACACATGGCCACTTGACCCAGTTTAAGCCTAAGCTCTCTCATACTAAAACTCTGAGTCCTGTTTCTGCTTCCTATTTGTCAAATGGATAGAAAATTATCAGTGAGTGCTTAACAAAAAGTAATTTACATTGTGGTTATATTCATTTAATGTTTCATGGAGCAATTATTTATTTAATAGGAATCCTGTCTGAAAGAATCTTCTTAGAAGTCATTTGCCAGTCAGATGGATCTTTTCCTGTTAGACGTGACTGGTATGGAATTGTCTTATAGAGACTGGGTGAGGACCAGGGAGGGGTTGCACAATCATCAAGGTATATGGCATTGAGACATTAAATGTGATTTGCCTAAAGCACTGTTACATCCTGGGATATGATAATGAGAACCTAAGTCAAAAATATACTTAAATAAAGACAACAACACTTTAAAACAGATTTCCCATTTTTACAACTGGCACTAGCTATCCATTTTAATAAAATTTCCACCTTGTCTACTACACTAGAGCCCTGTCAGTTCCCTAATACATCACAGCCCTGCCTTTAACCCTCCTCTTGCCTGGCTGGTGGCCAGGTCTGGTCTGGAATCAGTTGGAGTTAATTCCCTCTGGGTCATCTCCATGATCTGACAGTCCCATGCTGTGCCACCCAGGAGGCCATAATAATGCTGGGCTTAAGCTAATGTCCATACTCCTCACCTGTGGATGCTACCACTATCAATGGATGCCACTATCTACTATCAACAAATCAATGGATGCCACTATCCATCCACTATCTATATACTTTAGATTTATAGCAATCATCTTCCAGGCACTTCTTGGAGGGTCTGTGACTGAAGCTTCATTGCCTTTTCCTTTGAGAAGCCATCTAACTTGTGTCTATAGGATCCCTCTCACTAAGCATATTGTTCACTAATCAAATATATTTAAGTATTTCCTGTGTCCCTAATTCTATCCTAAGTGCTGTGAGGAATTATAAACAAAACAAATATACTTTCTCTTTGGTATTACAGATTTTTCTGTATAAATCCTATTGAATTGTGAGTATCTTGAGGACAAGACCTGTGTATTTCTCATTTTTGTGAACTGCAAAGCATACTACACTGTATTCAATAAATACTGTTGAATGGAAGAATTCATAGATAAATAAATTCCTCTCTAGAGACAGACTGCAAGCAGACATCACCCTGAGATTTCTAGGACTCTTTGAAAAGTCATTTCAGTTGGTGATAGGTCTAGGAGAGGACAGACTGTTTTACCCTGTGAATGAAAGTTAACTTTACCCCAGGGAACGTTAATGTACAGACCTGCCAGTGTACTCCTGACCAAATCAGCAACACCAAAAATGAAACAGTGCAGCAATGCTGCATAATGACATCTTTTGCTAAACGGAGCCACTCACCTGATCTGAAGCCAAGTCAGCATCGGGGTCGTTCCTCCTCCAAACACCCAGACTGTGAAGAACACGAGGAGCAGGGTGGTGGTAAACATCATTTGCTTGGGCTGAGATTCTGTGTCCCGAATAGCTAAGGCAAATGCTATTGCTCCTCGCAAACCTTACAGGAGGAACCAAGAAACACAAGAGAAACTGAACATCTGCATGAAGCTCATTCTCAGTTTACTAAATTTATCTTTATGATTTTCTAACAAACACAATTAATTTTTAAAATTAAACATTTTGAGATAACTATAGAATTACATGCTGTCGTGAGGATAGAGACTTATCGTGTGGTCTCCCCCCACTTTCTCCCTAATGAAAGCTTCTTGCAAAGCAAGCACAATATCACAACCAGGATTTTATTGTTGATTCGGGTCAAGATACAGTACATTCCCAGCACACTAACATCCCTCATGTTGCCCTTTTTTAACCACATCTACTTCCCTCCCACACACTCCCTCCTTAACTTCTGGCAACCGGTAATGAAGTCTCCATTTCTATAACTTTGCCATTTCAAGAATCAAATGCAATCATGAATTGTGTAGTTTTTTTGGAATTGGCCTTTTTCACTCAGAATAATTCTCTGGACATTCCTCCAGGTTGCTTAACATCAATAGTTTGTTCTTTTTTATTGTTGAATAGTATTCCATGGTAGGGATGTTCCACAGTTTGTTTAATCATTTATCTGGTAAAGGACATCTGGGTTGTTTCTAGTTTTATGGCTATTCCAAAAAGGGCTGATGTGTATAAAACATAAGTTTCATTGCTCTGATGTAGATGCCAAGGAGTGTAATCACTGATTGCATACTTACAAAAGAAATTATTAAACTGCTTGCCAGAGTAGCTATATACCATTTATATTCCCACCAGAAATATACAGGTCATACAGTTTCTCTGCATCCTCGTCAGCATTTAATGTTGTCACTATTTTTAAATCTTAGTCATTCTAATAGGTGAGTGGTAATAGCTTTACTGTGGTTATAATTTGCATTTTTCTTTTTTAAAAATTATTTATTTATTTTTGGGAGAGTGCAAGCAGGGGAGGGACAGAGAGAGGGGGACAGAGAATGGAGTGGGCTCTGTACTGACAGGCTGACAGCAGTGAGCCCGATGTGGGGCTCGAACTCACAAACCATGAGATCATGACCTGAGCCAAAGTCGGATGCTCAACCAACTGAGCCACCCAGGTGCCTCAATAATCTTCATTTTTCTAATAACTGATGGTGTTGAATATTTTTTAATGTACCTAGTTGTTATCTTTATGCCCTCTTGGGTGAAATAGCCCTTCACGTTTTTATCTCATTCTTTACTTGAGTTGTTGGATCTTTGATTGTTGAGTTTTGAGAGTTCTTTATATATTCTTTAAAAAAAATTCTTAATGCTTATCTATTTTTGAGAGAGAGACAGTGTGCAAGTAGGGGAGGGGCAGAGAGTGAGGGAGACACAGAATCTGAAGCTCCAGAGTCTGAGCTATCAGGACAGAACCCAACACAAGGCTCTAACCCATGAACCGCAAGATAATGACCTGAGCTAAGGTAGGCCACTTAACCCACTGAGCCACCCAGGCGCCCCTATATATTCTAGATACTATCCTTTGTTGGGATATATAGTTTGCAAATATTTCCTCCCCCTTTGTGGCTTTTTATTAGTGAAGTCTAATCTGTAGATCTTCCTTTTAGGAATCATGTGTTTGGAGTCAAGTCTAAGACTTCTTCACTTAGCTCTAGGTCCTAAAGGTTTTCCCCTATGTTTAAAAAATTTGTAAAAGTTGTATAGCTTTATATATTACACTTAAGTCCATGATCATTTGAATTAATTTTTGTATAAGGAATGAAATTTAGGTTTAGGTTCTACTTTTTTTTTTTTTTTTTTTGCCTATGGATGTTTTAATTTTTTATTGAATAGCTTTTGCAATTTTGTTAAAATTCAGTTGTGTAGGGGCGCCTGGGTGGCTTAGTCGGTTAAGCGTCCGACTTTCGATTAGGTCATGATCTCGCAGTTCGTGGGTTCGAGCCCCGAGTTGGGCTCTGTGCTGACTGCCCGCTCAGAGCCTGGAGACTGTTTCAGAGTCTGTGACTCCCTCTCTCTCTGATCCTCCCCTACTCATGCTCTCTCTCCCTCCTAGAAATAAATAAAAAACATTAAAAAAAAATTAAAAAAAAATTGGGTATATTTGTGTGGATCAATTCCTGGGTTTTCTATTCTGTTCCATTTATCTATGTCTCTGTCCCTTATCTAATAGCACTCCAACTTGATTACTGTAAATATATAGTAGGCCTTAATACTGGATAGAACTATTCTTACATTTTATATTTGCAATTGTTTTTAACTATTCCAAGTCTTTTGCTTTTCCATAAGGTTTTAGAATAATATTGCCTATATCTACAAAAATATCTTTCTGGGCACAATTACTTTTTAAAAATCAAATGTGTGAGATAGTAAGAAAAAACAAGCTTATGGACCACTGAAACTAATAAATAACTAAATAATGTTTAAGAATTATGTTAGCCTGAGTACATGCTATTATACTGTCCATAATCTAAACAAACTATTAAACCTGCTTTTTTCTTGTTTTTTCCTTATAATAATAAGCTCAGTGAAATTTTATGAATCCACATTAAACATATTTACAAGAAGTATGTTAAAATTTCAAATCAAAAGTGTGACGATACAAGTAAAAACAGAGATTAAGGCTTTGAAAAAGAATAAGAAAAAGCACAAATTGTAAAGTAAAAAAGTTAAAATGGAAGGTCTCCCTTGGGTAACACAAGACTTGCAAGACATTTTTGGCCCTGTTATCAAGTAACAGGTCATATAAACATTTATAAGGACAACAAGAATAAGTCAAAGAGGTAGGGATTTGGTTGTTTTTATAAGAAAGTTGGAATTGTGTACATAAGATTTCAGTGGTCTACTTATTATATTTGCTCTATCTAACTTTCCAAATTTTTATTCATGCATTAAAAGAGCTTTAGAAATTGGACACAGGGGGGATGCCTGGGTGGCTCAGTTGGTTGAATGTCTGACTTTTGGTTTTGGCTCAGGTCATGATCAATCCATTCAGGAGTTTAAGTCCTGCATTGGGCTCTGACAGCATGGAGCCTGCTTGGGATCATCTCTCTCCCTCTCTCTCTGCCCCTCCCCCACTCATGCTGTCTCTGTCTCTCCCAAAATAAATAAATAAACTTAAAAAAAAGAAAGAAATTGTACACAGGGTAGGATGAAGAAAACTATAGCCTATTTTATCCCTGACTTTCCAATATAGATATGATGTTCCTTTCTTATCTCCACACCATGAATATACAAGAGACAAGTAGCATAACACAAGATACAAAGTGTTAGGCTAGAGAGACTTAATATATTTTGCCTGAAACAAGGAAGCCTCAAAAGAGAGAGGAACATGCACTCTGATTATAAAACACCTTCAAGGAACAAAATGTAATGGAGGAAGGAAATTATTCTAAATTTCCATGTAGACAAGGAAATGGCCTGAAGATAAGGGAGATAACATTTGAAGTAGATATTAACATAAAAAAATTCTTATACATCAGAAATTCTCAACACTTGAGATGCCTGTACTCCAGAAGAAAAGTCCCCCATTAGAGATGTTCCTGCACTCAGGCCCAGCTGAGAACAAAAGAGTAGGAGTATTAATAACCCTTAATACTGGGGAATATTTCAATAATGTTCTCTCCAGGAAATACAAATGGTGTCATTAAGGAACAAAAACTAAAAGAAACTCTTGTAACAGACGTCTGTATCAGAGGAGAGAATTTATAGGTCAAGATAAAGCTTCTCACAGTATATAATCACAGTACAAGATTAGAGATAGAAGCTATCTTTTCATTTTTTCTTCTCCTCAAGCTCACATTGCTAGAAATAAAATAGCATTACCCCAATTAAGTGGTGAGAATTAGAAGTATTAAGTGATGAGACTTTAAGTATTTCTTATTTTATTGAATATTGTGCGTGTTTCAACTTTGAATTTGTGTGAGAAAGAAGAGAGTATAGACTGGAATAAAAGAAAAAAAAAGTTGTTAATATCATGCTTATTGTAAACTCTTTAAAGTTAGATATCAAGGGCAAGAAAGTTCTTAATCATTTATCTTCTTAAATAGGTTTAATGATATGTTATGTTAACTAGCATAACTAAGCTCTTAAATCTAAATTATATACGAGCAGTTCTTGGTTTAAAACTATACTCAAAAGATAGCTGTTATCTGACTTTCATAAGAGACGCATCCTATATATAAAACTTTCTATTTACAGGAGATTCAATGCAAGGATCTTTGAAGGAAAAAAAAAAGGAAAAGTTCAGCCACTGCCTTTTACTTGTGGCAAGTGTGAGATACATTGCTTAAAGGGCCAAACTTCAAAATGTTGACAAGAGGATGCCTTCTCCATATGACGATCATCTGACAAACCACAGAAACAGGATGTTTTTAGAGAGGGGATCATCTGTCTGCAGCCCTGGTCACATGTGCCACATATGGCACATGCCACTTGTGAGATATGGGAAGCATATCTGTGGGAAGCATGGAACTGAGACAGGTGGGTTATAAGTGGACAAAATCAAGCTATTTTAGAACTCTAGATAAGAACTAATGCCTATATTCCATTCATCCTTTATGATTCTGAAGTTATTTATCACACATTTGGAGCCTATTGTCAAGTCAATGGTCATTCATTGCTTCATTCAAAATACATGTGTCTTAGTTTGCTATAACAAAATACCATATGGGCTGCTGTAGCAAAATACCATAGACTTAGTAGCTGCAATAGCAGAAATTTATTTCTTATGGCTCTGGAGGTGGGGATGTCCAAGATCAGGGTGCCAGCACAGTGGGTTCTGGTGAGAGTTCTTTTCCTGGCTGTCAGAGGCTACCTTCTTCTTCTCCTTCTACTTTTTTAAAAATTTTAATGTTTTTTAATTTATTTCTGAGAGAGAGAAACAGTGTGAGCAGGGGAAGGTCAGAGAGAGAGGGAGGCACAGAATCTGAAGCAGGCTCCAGGCTCTGAGCTAGCTGTCAGCACAGAGCCCAACACGGGGCTCAAACCCATGAACCGTGTGATCGTGACTTGAGCTGAAGTTGGATGCTTATCCCACTGAGCCACCCA